GCCTGAGTAAACAGGTCACAGTAGTTGCTAATGCATCTCAAGTATTCACTTTTACTCCTTCATAACCAAATACAGCTGCTAGTTTTCAGTAAGTACAAACATTTAGAATAATCCTATATAAAGATCAAACTTACCAAGAGCACAAAACAGCGACTGCAAAAAAGTGACTGGTCTAGTGTGAGTTTTCAAAAGGCAGAGAACAGAGGGGGAATGTGGAGAGAAAGGCTTAAGAACTGAAGGACAGGTCATCTACAGATGAAAGAGATTCCTTCTCTTTTTCATTAGAAGCTGCAGGATTGGGGTACTTTTAAAAAAGGAAACTAATAACAAAATGATAACCGTGAATTTATATGTTCTGATTTACACTTAATATTTTCTGATTCACACTTTACAATCAGCTCCTGCTTTCTAACCTGGAGAGAAAACACAACAGCCTAGACCTTGGCTAAGACAAAGACTCAGAAAAAACATGACTCTGTTGGCCATGTCTCCCCTGCTGACACACCATGACTTAGCAGTTCCACTCCTCCTGCTTGCGTGAGACAAGAAACATCCAGGTTAATTCAGCTGCTCCTTCTCCATCCCTCTCTGGCCCCTCACATTGGCTCTGTGCCATCAGCATGTTCATTATCAGGGTTAACCTCAAAAAACATACATTCTCTTATGGAAAGCTCACTGGCAAGACAGCAGGCTAAGGGCAGGTAACAAGGGGACAGAACAGAGTCAGGACTCTGATGTTGAGCAGAGGTGACTTATTAAACCTGGGAATCCCAAAGGAAGAGCCCATGTGGTCTGAGCAATGGGCAACAAAACTATTTCACTTTCATACAAACTTCTGAGGATACCTGCAGAATCTTCTCTTTCATGTATTTCTGAGAGAAAGAGAGAGTTATTTTTTAAGGTGGGCTTAAGTCAAGCCTGAGAAGACACTGGATTCAATGCTTAATAATAAATGTTCACAAAGCTCCCAGTTCAGTTGTCAGCAATATCTGCCCACAAGAAGACTCCATTGTGTAAATTGCTCTCACAGTGATCAACACTCCAGTTCTGATATCAAAGAAGGATCCATCCAACTTGGTGCTGGACATCTGGTTCTTAGGAGATAACAGAATACTGACACTTCCAACATTTACAGCTCCAGTAAAAAAGGATATATTTTTTTTGAAAAGGATATTTTAAGGTCATAAAAATATAACTAAGTCTTTAAAAGAGATTGTGTCTGTTGACTCATCACATGAAAAGAAAATACACGGATAGCTTTCCAGGAAACATGAAATGTGTATCTCAGACAACATGATAAAATGTGACTTCCTAGACACAGAGAGAGACCACAGTTCCAGATTCCCCCATACTTAGCCCATAACAGAGTCCAACTAAGGTAACTAGAATAGAACTGAGCCTGATCCCCAAGCTTCCCAAATACCCTCTCCATACACTTAACACTTCTGTGGCTGAATACTCATGCCTCAATACTTTAGTGGAGGTTGTTACTTACTTATAAATACTTATTTTTATGTGTGTGTTACTATCTTGTTTGCCTGCATGTATGGCACTAGAAGGGTACAGTGTCCACAGAGGCCAGAAGTGAGTGTCATATCCCTGTAACTGGAGTTACAGACCATTTTCAGCCACCATGTAGGTGCTGGTAACCCAGGTCCTGTGCCAGAGAAGCAATTGGTCTTAACTACTGAGCCATCTCTCCAGCCCCTGCTTCAAGTACTTAGAACCTTGTGCTAATCAACTGGAAGCTTCCTTCAGCTAAGGCCTCAGTAACTATAAGGGACAAAACATCCCTGTTTCTTTCAATCTCAAACCACTCTGAACCATACAAAAAAGGAAGACATTTCTGATGTTTATGCCATTTTGTATGTTGGACACTGTGATTACAACATTTAACCTACAAAAGACAGAACTTAAAATGAGGGCCATGAGTCAATGGTGACAAACAATACAAGTTTAAAAAGGACAAAAGAGACACCAACAGGTTACACTGGAGCTGACACTCAGCAGGCATCTGAGAGGACACTCAACATCTCCAGTCCATGACTGTAAAGCAAATTAAGACCACAGAGAGCAATGACTGACTAAGTCTGGCAAGACCAAAAACTGACAGGAAGCAAGGCACCCAGAACGTCCATGATGTTGATGGATGTGTACAATGGTACAACCACTCTGGAAAACGACTGTGCAGTTTGCTCCCAAACAGACATTGGCCCTATAACCCAGTAAATCCTGCAATCCCTGTAGTTTAGGGTTTTGTCTTATTTATTAGGACAGGATTCTTGCCATGAAACTCAGGCTGACTTCAAACTGGTGATCTACCTGCCTTAGGACTGGAATCACAGGTGTGTGCCAGCACATTCAGCTAGAAAAATATCAAAGTGTGGGTGCATAAAATGACTGGTATAAGAGATTTCATATCAGGCTGGAGAGATGGCTCAGTGGTTAAGAGCACTGGCTGCTCTTCCAGAGGTCCCGAGTTCAGTTCCCAGCAACCACATGGTGGCTCACAACCATCTATAATGGGATCTGATGTCCTCTTCTCGTGAGTCTGAGGACATCTACAGTGTACTCATATACATAAAATAAATAATTTTTGATAAAAAGATTTTTCATATCAACTTTATTCATAATGATCCAAACTTGGAAATAACCCAGGTGCCCAGCAATAGTATAAACAAACAGTGGTCTAATCTTGTAACAAAGTACTACATAGTGTGGAAAAACCTAACTGCTGATACATGGCACAAGGAAGTATTTTCATTGAACAACAAATAGAGCTTTATACAAAAACCCATAAATCAATGGTTAAAACATTCAGAACAATGATTTCCACTGGACACACTGAACTCTCTCTCTCTCTCTTTCTATTCTCTCCCTCCCCACCCACCCCCACCCCGGTGTATGTATGTGTGTGTCAGAGGGCAACCTCAGGCATCAAACCTCACCTTCCACTTTGTTTATGGTGTTTTTCTATTGTATATACCAAGCTAGCTGACCTGTGAACTTCTAGATGTTCTCCTGTCTCCCAGTTCCACAAAGGAACACTGGGACTCCAAGGTGCACATCACCATGGCAGGGTTTACATGAATTGTGGTGATTCAAACTTATATCCTCCCACTTTAACAGAAAACACTCTACCCACTGAGCTATCTCCTCAGTCCAGCCTTGGACATCAGGCTCAGGCTGCAGTTATCTATGTGAGTATTAAACCTTGTTGAAGAGAACACATAAATCTACATGTTCCACTACATGTAAATATCACTGTAAACCTGCACATGCACACCACACTCTTCATCCACATCCCCGAAGTGTTCAGGTATAAAGTAATTGTAGTTGAGGAGATACACTTAAAAAACATCACTAACTTCCTGGATGAATGAAGGGATAGGGAGATGGATAATCTTATAAAAGAGGTAATCGTTCAGTACAGGAAGTGGACACTTAGGTGTGTACTGCAGTTCTTTTCAGTCGGTATTTCTGAATTCTCGACACTTTTCATAATCAAGTTTTTCAGCTCACCTAGCTACATAGCATGTGCTGATTTCCTTCCATCCGGGGATTCACCTCCTAAAAATCTTTGTTCAGAGTAGCACAAATTCAGTGAGAAAACATCAGTATCTCCAACAATAGGTGACACACACAGAGCACGGAGTTGTTACGGAAAGAGAGAGAGAGCAACAACTTAATGGTTTCCTCAAACAAACTGATCTCAAAATAAACAAGACACCTTTACGAACACATGTACTTTTCTAAAATTCTCACTACACACTCCAAGTATTCGTGACATCATGAAGCAGGCTTTTGCAACCACTGGGTACCGCACAGGTCCCAGCTCTAAGGAGCTCAATTCTAATTCTGACTCTACCACTAACCAGCTGTATGTCCTAGATTACCACTGTTTCTCTGCTTCATTTGAAGATCTCAGGAAGAAAAAACTTCATGGACCTAGCTGTAAATAATGAAGGACAATGGGGCCATGAGCTTAGAGAATATCAGCATTTTCTTAAACTAGGTCCATGAACTCTAAACATTGATTTCCCAGTTCACCAACAAAAGCAGGGTTTTAAGGAAGAAAGAGCAAGGGGGAAAGTCTCCCTCATCCTCACCCCGGCAACACCCTACTAGCCAGAAGCCATGGGACCGAGCAGTATCAGTTGCTCCAACCTCTCTAAGATGCCCAGGCCAGGACCGTCCCCACCAAGTCTACTGAAATCCCCACTGTCTATGTAGACACTGTGACAGTGTCATGTGCTTGGGATGTCTTGCAGCCAACCCCGGCACTCTCTAACACTCCACAGCTAGTCTGCAATAGGAACTAAATGGTAATCATCTGTTTACACATCTTGCCTCTCGGTGTTGACTCTAAACTTCTCCAGGGTGTGGTCTTTTCTCACAGAAATATTTGTACACCTTGTGGTGCTCAAATACAGGCACTCAAAGTTCTGTGAATCAAAGTGATGATTACTGTCTAATGTCATTGCCAGTTCTAAAATACCAGGTCTGATGCTCCTCAGTGCCAATGAAATAGTGAATGTAAAAAAGCTTTTATTTAATGGTTGAATGTTGTGTGTTCTGCATGTCATCATGAATGATGCTGGAGGCACAGGCTCGGGCAACTCCCAAACACCAAGGCGTGCAGATCTAAGATTTCACAAACATAGAGCAGGAGCTGGCTCCAACTTCCTGGCTCACAGCTGCAGCTCTCTGCCTCTTTGCTCAGGCGGCTGGCTCCACGTCTCCCTTAAGCTGTGACCTATGTCCCAGCTGGCACAAGTGCCAAACTCGGAGCCATCCACCCAGCCCCTGCTGCCAGCGACAAGTCCTGCAGGCCGGCAGCCCCATCCCCTCTCTGCAGAATGGAACGGTCCGTGGGACAGAAAGCAGCCACCCGAGCGCGCAGCCAGTGGTGCAGCCCCAGCGCGGGCCACTCAGGGGGAGCCCGCGCCGTTACTCGCCGCCGCCCACGTTCTCGTGAGGCTCTGGGGAACAGAGGGTACCTGCGGGGCCCGCTGCTGCTTCCACTGCTGCATCTGGTCGCTGGCTGGGTCTCTGCTGTCCGACATGGTGTAGGATTGCGGAGCTGCGGAGTTGCGGAGCGAGAGGCAGGAGGGTCTGACACGCACGGTCTCCAGCCGGAGTAGGCAATCGTGTTGGCCTGGCCCGCTGGAGCGGTGACTTCAAGCTCCGCCAATCAGCACCGCCCCCACCCCCTCGGGACGGCCGCCTCCTGATTGGCCATTGGAACTCTAGAAGGGACAGGATTGGAAGGAGGGTGGGGCGAGAAGTGGGGCCTCCGTGAGGTGGACCCCGGAATGGGAAGAGCCTGGGAAGACTGGTGGGGACCGAAAGGAGGTGCTGGGATCCTGCCGGTGCTCTCTGACCTCAGAGAGTCACAGTTCAGGGTCCAATTCCTCTGTGCAAAGTTTCTCACTCTGCGTACTTTGTTTGCTACTGATTGGTGGGTGGTCCTTTTTCTTTCTTCTCTCACTGATAGGTTATCATTTACCAAGCTGTATACCAACAATTTGCTGTAAAAACACTCTGAAACTGTTTAATCTTACTACAGATCGGTGCGGATCTCCTCAGTGAGAAGGAAAACTCTAACTTGTGACTTGGCTCACTGTGCCAAAGTGGCCTGGGGATCGACTGCAGTGACAGGCTCCTCCATTTTCTCCCCTGACACAGAAGAATAATGAAAAGCTCTTGTCTGTGGGGAGAGGGGGATCTACGTTGGGTCTGAGGATGTGGCTCAGAAGGTTGAGTGTTTGTCTAGCATGCACAAAGCCCTGAGTTTAGTCGCCAGAATCATATGAACTGCGCAATGGTGCAAGCCGTTGCCTTCCGGAAGTGGAAGCTAGAAGTCAAAGGTCATCTTCAGCTACATAGCTCCTTTGAGACCAGACTAGGATATGAGATTCTGTCTCAAAAAAAATATGAAACTAGAAAGTAAAACATTTACTAATATTTTTAGGAATTTAGTGACTTTGCAGCTTATTTTCAATTTTTAATCAATAGTAGCTAGAAGTTATCTTTAAACACCTTGATACACATGTGTAGATGCCATCATTTTCAAATTAAACCTCAGCTTTCACCTTGATTATGGGCTGTGGACATGTGACTGAGGACAGTTCAAAGTTTGTTCTTGATTTGAGAAAGATGTGGTAACGGGAATTGGTAAAATTGTAAGTTGTGCAGTCTCTTGGGGAAACAGTCACAAATTCATCTTATCAATGATATTTTTCCAATATTGTCCTTAACACAATTGTAAAAAATACCATTCACTGTGCCATTTGTTTGCTGTCTTTTGCTATGTCTATATCTACACTGTCCCTAGAATGTGGAGCCCATAAAGGCAGTGACTGTCACGTCTAAAATCCCATGGGACCAGCAAAATGGATCAGTGGGGAGTCACTTACTGCCTGATCTAGCACCCAAAGTTTAATCCCCAAGACCCATGAGATAGAAGGAAAGAACCAACTGCCAGATGTTTTCACACACACACACACACACACACACACACACACTCATGCACGTGGCTGAGACTATAGCTCAGTAGTACTCACCTAGCATATGTGAAACCCCATCACAAAAGGAAAAAATAGATAAAAAATATGAAAATATGGAGCTAGCAAGATCACTCAGTGGATAGGGGAACTCACTGCCAAGCCTGACAACCCGAATTTAATACCCAGGCCCCACATGATAGATTGAGAAAACTGATTCCCAAAAGTTTGTCCCTGACTACTGTACTTATACATACACAGTTAATTCATTAATTAAATGTAACACCAATTTTAAGTTAGAGCTCCTTGAATACTTCCTATACGTCAGAGACTGTTCGACTATTAGGTTTTTTTTTTAACAAATTTGCCTAGCCGACCCAACAGCACTGTAAGTTATATACTAACATCGTGATAATTAAATGACCTGGGAGGCTGAGGTACAGGAGGCTATATAAAGAACTTACTCAAAGTCACACAATTACTGACAGTCAAAATTCCAGTCCCGTCCACTCATCTCCAGAGCCTACTGCTTGTTAAGGAAGTCAGTGGTGAGAGAAGGAGCAAAGCAGACCTTTTCCCTGTAGCTAGAATAGACCTGAACAAGGTAAATAAAAAGAGACCTGAGTCATGCGTTCTCCTTCGTTCTTTGTATGGATGAGTCTTGTTTGATTTGGGGCTTGCTCGCTCCTTCTTTCTTTCTTCTCTGTTTCTGTTACTGTTGCCTTAGATTCCTAAAGAGTCATTTTCACAGGAACAAAAAGAATGGGGAGACCAGCCAGGCTCTGATCTTGTCGTGTCTTGCGTTTTAAAATAAGGTGTGTGCTTCTAGCAGTGGCAATGAATTTATACTGGCTACCTAAGCAGAATTCCTACCCATAATTTTTAGGATTACAAGCCAATCATAGTTTAGGTGGAGACACCTCTAAAAATCTCCTATGGCTTCAAGTAGTTGAAACCCGATCCCTCTGATTCCTCAGGTAATTCCAAGCACTGAATTCAACAGACCAGCTTGTTCCTGTTTTATTCAGATAAACATGAGTATTTTATTGGCGTTGAATAAAGTTGATGTTTTGGAAATGCTATTCTCTGATTGTTCAGAGCTCAGTGAAGTAAAGTACACTGGCACAAACCATAGTGTTATTAATCCTGATATGAGGACAGCTAAAGTCCAGCGTAAATGGCCAAGAGAAGAGATTAGACATTCAGTTAGGGGATCTCTATGAGTAAAGCTTCCCTCCTCAATAGTGGAGGTAAAGAAGGGAGAGGCATATGCCTTGGATGATAGGGGTGATGGGGGTGGTGAGGGTGATGGGGGTGATGGGGGTGATGGTGCCCCAGGAGTAGCCACACCGATCCTAGTAGTTATTTACTTAGGTCTAGAGTCCATCCACTCTCCAGGAAACAGAATCTTATACACATTTTGATTTAATTCTCGTCATTGTGGCTTTAAGAGGTAAGCTTCAGAAGTGGAGAGGAGGCAGAAAGCACAATAGAAAAGAGAATTATTTCATTTTATAATGAGCCTTGGCTGCAAGGGAAGGGTGCAGATGCCTCTCCAGCGCCATCCATAGTCCACCACAGATCAGGTCTGAGCAGCTAGAGAAGATGACAAAATTCGAATTCTAAAGAACTAGTTTTCCATATGGCAGTGGCTTGTGGCCCCAACTGTTTCACCTCAGCCTCCCCGATTAAGAGAGAGCCCAGGTTGACCTTGGTGTCTCCTATGGGCACAGATCCTGAGGTGCTCGGATTCATGTGCCCTGACTCTCCCTTCCTCATGGACCATGCATGCTACTAACCTAGGATTGGAGAAAGGGGAAACAGACACCAGAAAGGGAGTTGTTTCTGCTGCTTTTTAAAAATGTGTAAAGCATATGTGTAAGGCTTAGAAACTATAGGCTAATATGCCAAAAAAAAAAAAAACTTTCACAGATAGCATTAAATGTCCTTTTTTCCCCAATGTTTTATCTCTTCCACATACATGAGGGTAAGTGAGAGAGGCTTGAAATGGATGGTGTATAACATTTAATGGCTTTATTGTGCTTGTCTTAATTTTGTTTGTTTTTGAGACACGTTCTCCTGTATTCTGGGCTGGCCTCTAATTCTCTATCTAGCCGCAGATGACATTGAACCTCTGATATTCGAGGCTGTCATATCAGTTGCTTGTCTGTTGCTGGGATAAAACACCATGACCAAAAGCAACTTTCAGAAGACATTTATTTTGACTTATGGCTCCAGAGTTGATAATGCAGGGGGCGGGAGCACTGTCAAGGAGCAGGCATTTTGAGGCAGGAGCAGAAAACGAAGATCACATCAGGAAGCAGAGAGAAAACTGGCTTTGGAATGAAGCTACATATTCACAAAGCCCACCCCCATGACGTACTTCCTCCCGCAAGGCCCGCCTCCTAAACCTCCCCAGACACCACCACCCACTGGGGACCAAGTGCTCAAATACTTGAGCCTGTGGGAGTATTTCTTTTTCCAGGCGCCACCCTCCACCTCTCCAGGACTGGGGTTTACAGGTGTGTGCTATGATGTTTGGTCTATGCAGCCCTGGGGATGGCTTTGTGCATACCAGGCAAGCATTCTACCAACTGAACCATGTCTTCAGCCCCGTGTCCTACTTTCTCACTTAGCATTCCAGAATGAAGTTTTTCCCAACTCATTTCTATATCTTCAAATAAAAAATTTCCCCTCCCCTCAGCTACACAATTTGCAAAGCAGGGTTCTTTGTTTGCTTGTCCCCTTACTCTGAACATTAATTTTTCTACTATAACAGTGTAATTAACTTTCTGTATTTGCTTTCGTTTCTTTGAGGTTTTTTTTCAGAAGTCATCTTTGGTTCAAATCATTTGAACATGTTAAGGCTCTGGCAACATTTTACCTCATGTTCTCTGGAACACTGAGCCATGCTTATGTTCACTGGCTCTCAGAGGATGGTTTGGCAATAAGATTTTAACGGTGAATAGATACATTATAGATATTTCTAAATTATACATTGTATTCGATACTTCAGAATGTCACCAGGTGTGGCACATGGCTGCAGTCCTATCTCTAAAGAGGCGGAGGTAGGATGATCTGGAGTCCAAAGCTACATAAGTTCCAGATCAGCCCAGGCCACTTGAGACCTTGTTTCAAAACTAACCAGAACCAATAGAGTTATATATTTTATTGAATTCCTCAGAACGGAGATATGCTTCTCATATTACATTCAGCCATAGCTGTACAGAATTCATACAACCTGCAACCACGTCCTAGGCTTTTGTCTGTGAGGAAAGACAGACAGAGAGGAAGTGAGCACACCGCACGGCACCAAGTGTGTTCGATAGGAAGGGGCATACCCAGGAAAACCACTAGGCTGAGCTTGAGAGGCAGTAAGAAGAAGCCGTTCCTGAAGCATGAAGAGTTACCAGGTGTGAAGTACAGAACCAAGAATGGGGATTATGGTTCACTCATTATGGAGATCTGAAATAGTTTCTTCCGGTTTTTCTTGAAAGCCTGACTTCATTAATGGTGTACTGTGGTATCTCACAGACTGGAAGAGCAAGCAAACATCTATCTATAACTGAGGTGCATGCATCCTTGTTGAATTTGCCAGGACACTGACCTCTATGTTTAACTTTGGCTCTGACTCCTTCTGCTTA